CCTCTGTAACTGGATGACCAGTTTCTGGGTCCAGGGCGGCCTTACGCCCACCCACCCCTCACACTTCCCCGTCTTTTGGATCACATCTAGGTGGCATTTCGCGATCCAGAAGAGGGAAGCTCACCCAACACAGCACTGGATGGCGAATTGATGAAAGCAGGCATTTAGAGGGCATTCTGTCCCCCTGGGTTCTCCCCTGGGGAGCCTCCCCTCCCTCAGTCCCTGAGGTCCTGGGGCTGACTTCGCCCAGGGCTGGAGAGGGTGACCCAGGGCTGGCCAGCAGAGCACCCTGGCCCCTGGCTACAGGGGTGGGGATCCGGCAGGGAATGAACCTGGGAAGGATAAGGTTTCACGGGACTTGATTCTGGGACTGTGGCTGGAGCCGCTGGTGGGAGAGCCCTGTCTAAGGAAACTGCGGCTGCTGGGGACCATCCTGTCATCAGGAAGGGGAAGATGCCTAAAAGCTGGGAGACAGAGAGACACTCATGTCTGGTGATGTCTGAGCCCCGGGGCCCGGCATGCCCAGAGCCAGACACCACCCAGCATTTCAGGAAAGGGAACCACCGCCAAGGTAACACAGCCTTGAGGGAGTGTAAGGATTCTCGCTTCACAACCCAAGGAAGAAAGAAACCAAAGGAAGCGTGGGATTGTCCCAAGGCCACGCCGCCCCTGGCTGGGATCTTTCGAATTCTGCTTCCAGGCACTCTCCATGGGACAGGCGTGTACAGCTGGGCCACATTCTGCCCCTGCCCCTCCCTCATTATGTAACCCCACGTCAGTGGTGGGAATCTGAAGCTAGGGCTGCCGGATAAAACACAGGACACCCAGATAAATCTGAATTCCAGATGAACATATTTAGTATATCTCAAATATGGCATGGGACATACTTATACTATAAAGATACAGTGCTTCTCTGAAATTCAAATTCAGCTGGGCATGCTGTGGTTTTATTTGCTAAATTTGACAACACTGTCTCAGGCAGGGAAGGGAGATGCGGCAAGAGGGCAAGGCCACCATCCTATGAGGAGCAGAGATGGGGTGGGGGGGTCCTAAGATTCAGCCTCAAAAAATAACCTTCCCCGTCTCCTGCCAGAGGACCCACATCATCCACGGACACAGTCATCACGGCTTTTCGGCTGCCAGGTCAAGTGAAAACATGACCTGGAAAGAAAACATATTAACCATCAAGACTCTAGTGTGAATTAGTTTACAAAGTTGTGCATTTACTCGTTATTGTGAGCTGTACTACAGGGAGGAGACTCAGGGGGACGTGCTTCATTTTCCCCTGAAGTGTTTGTCTCCAGAGCACCAAGGATCGAATGCAAACTGTTTTCCTGTGGTTCTCAACCTGGGCTGCACATTGGAACCACCGGGGGCTTTACAAAATCCCAGTGTCCGGGCCACACCTCTTCCGATTACACCAGGATCTCTTCGGGGGAGGCCTAGCTCTGGTGATCTTCCCCAGGTGATTTAGATGTGCAGCCAAAATTGAGAACCAGTGGAAACGACTGTTCAGGCCGGGAGTTCTAGTCTTGGTGAGGGCTGCCATCGGCCGGCAGCCAGCTCTGCACCAGGCATCCTGCAGACTTAATTCCATTTGATTCTCCCAGCGGTCCTGCAATGCAGACGTTGTTAATCTCACCGTCCGCACGCGGATGCAGGCTCAGAGAAGTGGCGTGACTTTCTCAAGGTGACACAGTAGGAGTCATTGCCAGGTTGACCCCACAGCCCCTGGGCCATGCTGCCTCCTGGCTGTGCAACTTTGGATGAGTGCCTTCCCCTCTCTGGTCCTGTACTCCTTTCTCTGTAAAACGAGGGATAGAGGATGCTGTGTCAGCATGCGACATCCAGTCCTGCTGGCCCAGGTCTCAAATTAGCCTTGTCACACAGCGGGGGCATTAAAGAGTGAGGTGGCATCTTGACAGTGGGGGGCTCAACTCTGGTGTCATCAGCGTAAGCAATGGTTTAGAGAGTGGGGACCCCTTGCTGTGGGGGTGGGAGGCGCCCTGTGAAATGGCCTTCGTGGACTATAACGATCATTTTATTCATAATAATGGCCAACATAAGCACCCAGTGACTCCCCGCTGAATGAGTGGACTGGACACTTGTCCGTACCGGGCACCGTCCTGGTCAGTCCTCCATTCATCTTCTATGTCCATCCTCATCCCATTTCACAGATGAGGAAGTCGAGGCAATGATTTGCTCCAGAATGAACAGCTGGTAAGTGGGGCATCTGCCGAGCCCCCCAGGCAGTCTGTCGCCCAGCCTTCACACTCAGCCACACCACACTGGTGGCCCGGACAGCTTGAGGAGCAAACATTTGTGGTTTTTATGCCGTCAGAGAACAGTTTTTGTTTTTTTTTTTTATTTTTTTGTTTTGGGATAATTATAGATTCACAAGAAGTTGCAAAGACAGTACAGAGTGGTCCTGAGTCCCCTTCGCCTGGCTTCCACCAGTGGTTACATCTTAAGTAACCAGAACACCATGTCGAAACCAGGGAATTGATGTCAGTGCAACGTGCGTGGTCTGTCCTTGTAACACGTGTGTAGATTCAACACAGCCGCTACCGCAACTAAGCTACACAATGGACCCACCACGAAGACCTCCCTCTGCTACCCACTTATGGTCACGCCCACCCCTCCCCCACCCCTGACACTTGGCAGCCACTAAGTTAGAATCACGACTTTCAATCACATTTTGGCAGCCGAGTTCACGTACATGTACTTGCCTTGATGACGTAGGTCCACACTGTTAGTCACCCCACTGTCCTTCTCCCCTGCGTCTTCCTTGCTAACAGAGCCCCCCCTTTGATTAGGGGGCACATCCGCCCCACTTGCCACTTGCTTTCCCAGCCTGCCTTGAGCTGGGGGTGCCCTCCCACCAGTCCCGGCTCATAGAATGTAACCAGAATCTGCTGGCAGGTTCTAAGGAAGCTTTGGCTTTCCAGAGCTCAGGGCGGCAAGCATTCCTTCTCCCTGGCTTCGGCACAGCAATGACTCTGAGACCACCAGGCCACAGCTTGCTGGAGACACCGAGAATCGGAGAACACAGCCTGGGCATCGCTGGGCCATGAACAAACATGTCACCTCCGGGTTTATTCTTTACAAAAAGAAACCCTGTTTGTTTCCACAGTGGTTCTCAATTGGGGGTGATCTTGCCCCCTAAGGACATGTGTCACCTTCTGGAGACATTTGTGGTTGTTACAATGGGGGGCTGCTACTGGCATCTAAGGAGGCCGGGGATGCTAACATCCTAGAATGCTCAGGAACACCTTCCCCAGTAAGGAATTACGTGGCCCCGAATGTCAGTGTGCCGAGGGTGGCGCACCTGAGTCAGGCCACTGCTAGTCGTGGTTTCTGTTTCCTGCGGCTGAAAACACTCCTGGCCCAGTGGCCGCTCTGACCACTCAGTCTCCCAGCAGAGGTGGTGTGAGGAAGCCAGCATCCAGGCATCAAGTGCAGCTGGGTCCAAACCAGCCCCCATCACAAGCTGGTTAACCTAAATGTACTGTCTAACTCCCTGAGGGTTGTTGCAATGATCAGGAGCTTACAGTAGAAAGAGCAGAGTATCGGACGTGGCGAACACGCAGAGGGTCTCCTTCTGTGCACAGCACCCCTATCTCCTTCCTGGCCCGTCCTCCCTTTTGCTCACAGACCTTCCAGTTGGATAACAGAATGCAACTTTTGATACGAACAATCCCGCTTTAATGTAGAAAACAAAACTCATGTACATACATAAATACAATTTGGGGGTATAAATAAAGTAAGAAAATAAAGAGATGTACATATCAAACAAAATAAATTACTCATAAATAGCACGTTGGAACCTAAGTGCTGGGGAAAGGACTCGGCCTTCCCTGCTCCGTCCACAAGTTACTGGCAAGATTTGGGATTTTCCTGGCTTTTGAGTTGAACGTGCGGGTTTCCCTAAGGTGGGAGGCTGCCAAGCCTCCCCAAGGCACAGAATGACTTGGTGCCCAGGGCAAAGGGCTGGGGAAGTGAAAGCAGCTTCTGGAAGATGGTGTCTGCTCTTTCAGGTCAATATCCACAGCGCTTAAGAAAGGAGAGAGCGCCAGAGCCCCAGCGTGAAGGGGGAGAACTAGGAAGGGTGTGTGGGCCTGTGGGGTTCCATCTCTAAGGGCCCTCATGGGAAATCCACGTGACGGAGCAGATCCAATTCCCTGGAAACCCACAGTCACCGTGGCAAGCAGGGGCTGCAGGGACCGGCTGTGTTCACGTCCTGTCTCTCTGAGCAGGTGGCAGAGGTGGCAGCATGGCCATTCACCTTTGGGTAACCCCGGGCACGTGTTGACTATGTGCAGGGCGCTGGCTGTCAGAAAGGGGTGGGGCGGAAGTAGGTGAGTCGCCTTATCTGCCAAGTAGTGCATCTCAGAACCAGCTGTAACAGAGTTCTCAAGGCTCACCCAGGCTGGAGGGGGGCTCTGGGATCCCCCGGCTCCTGAAGCCTGGTGGGCTGTGCTTGTGTCCAGTCAGTTCTGTCCTGGAGGGGTTTGGGGAGAGCCAACCATCCTCCTTGGCGTTGAGATCTGGATCAATTCTCACATGCGGTCAAGTCAAATTTATCTGAGGTTTCACAGAGCTGATCACCTGTACATGAGTTTAAAATGACTGCTTACCTTCTGGCTGCCCCTGTTGGAAACGACAGCAGAGAATTTCAGCTTGGTGTTAAGAACTTTCCCAAAGGTAGTGAGTTCCCCATCACTGGAGGTATTTAAGCAGAACATGGGCAGCACAGTGACTTGTCCAGCAATGAATGGCAAAGGTTACAGGCCTGGGGGCTGGGGTAGGTAGCAGTTGGGTGCAGGTACGGGGCTGGGGTTGGGTGGGTGGAGGGCCACTATTTTATGATCATACAAGTCTATCTGCTAGTAACTGGCACAGCCAATGTAAAACTCTATATTATGTACAAGTTCTAAACATTTCTTCCTAAAGCTAAATAGCACATGGACCCAGATCGTACTTGCAGAAGCACAGCCAGAGCCCACTCTGCCAACACCACAGGCTTGGGGTCCTGGCCTTCAGGGGCAGGCGGGAGGCCAGAGCCTCAGCTATTTCTGAAAGCTGGGACTCTTCACCAGTCCCACGTTGGTGGCGATCCCAAAAGGGTCCATGCTGTCTGTTTCCAGGGGCGAAGGAAACATGTCGGGTTCCAGGTGGTCCTGGAGGTCCCGGGGTTCCACTGGGCTCCTGGGCAGCATGGGCAGGAAGTGAGACAGGGGCAGAAAGCCCCTCCCCTTGTAGAGCTGCCTCTGCTTGGCATTGCTCAGAGAGATGGGCAGGTGGTGCCTCTTGGACCGGTACACGTTGTAGCCATCAGGGCGGATCTCCTCCTCAAAAGCGCAGTCCTCGGCAGAGTACTGAGGCTGCGGAGACAAACGGCAGCCCGTGAGCACCAGTGGGTGCGACTGCGCCCAGGGGGGCTCTGTGCTGCACACCGCTGCTCAGGTCCACACGGTTAGTCGTATATACGCGCGGGTGTAGTTCAAGGTTATAAAGTATGAAGGTATGTAAAGCACGTGTATTTATATGTAAAGTGTATGTAGTTAGTATAACATAATATGTATATATTACATATATATAAAGTATCCATAAAGCATGTATTGTTCTATTAATACACCCATTGAACACATAGATTAATATACAATATAAATATATAGTAACATTAAACATATATACTTTATACATAAATTTATATGTATTCATACCTTATATACCTTCATACTTTATAACCCTTACCTATACATAGACATAAATACTCTGAGTATATACATGTAGTTCATATATGTGTATTTTATGTACATTCTCAATATTTATAAATACTTTACATGGATCCTTAGTATTTTTCACTATATGTCCTTTTTGAAACTTAGTTGTCTTCTGAGCGATAAGATCCATAAAATCAGAAGCATGATGATCCGCATTCATGCTTCCCTCACCCTTCACATTAAATACCTAACCACTGACATTACAAAGTCCCTTGCTTTCCACTGGCTCTTTTGGAAATACTGCTAAACTACGTTACCCTTTTAGCATCAATCTTTTAATCAAGAATTACCTGTAATCCAATCTGGGGCAGAGATTAAAGCATCCACTGCCTGTTTAGACTGTGAGTGATTCTAAGTCGTTTTTTGTCTGGGGCCCTTGTCCCCTCTGCTCCTTCATTGAGTTGCTGAGAGCCTTCCAGGCAGCTTGCCAGGATCTTCAAGATAAAGACAGCCCCCTCCCCCAGGCCCGGGCAGGAGCCTGCACCCAGCGGGTGGCCCGGAATGCATGCTGAAGGAAGGAACCAGTCCCTGATCCCAGAACATTCCCGGTGGAGAGGTGCCAGTGGGCAAGTCTGGTCTCAGACTGGAATGTCATTACCCCTTGAGGACACAGACAGCCAGGAAGGCTGGCAGGTAAACAGCCCCAGGAAGCACCCAGTCTCCTTTCTGCCCAAGCCTACAAAGGTCGCTGAACTGCAGGTGGGTGAGCGCTCTGCTGATAAGAACTCTGATAAGGCCCGCCTCCAGTGAAGCTCCTGCCAGGGGATAAAGCCACCAGACAGCGAGCTGCGGGTGTTCCAAGTGATAAACAAACAAGAGAAGGAAAACCAAACGGTGCTCTGCTGGGTCTTTGGGAGAAATTAGCATCTCATTCTCTTCTCCACACAGAAAATGAAATGATTTCGAGTTTCTAGGAGAATGTGGAATTTCTGGTTTTTGTTTTTGTTTTTTTAAATCTCAGTTCTTGCTAAGCCATGCCCGCGGGATCAAGAAGAAGAACAGGATTTAGGTGGGGACTCCTCCACCCCCACCCCAGTTTGGATTAGGAGAATGGCGGGTTAGACCCATTTGCCCCTGCTGGCACTCCCTCCATTAGCCCCCCCGTAAGTAAATGTCACAATGACAAAATTGCAACCGAGGGTTTGAAGTGGCTTTGGGTGTCAGCTTTCAGCAAGCCGACCACCTCCTTTGCCTCCATTCTTGTTCTTTCACGCAGGACTCCGCCCTAAAATCTGAACCAGGCACTCTGGATAAAGACAGTAAGTGGGCGTCAGAGCCACAAAACAATTTGGAGACACTAAAAAGATTCGCGCTTCCGGGGAGGCCCGGCATCTTCATCTTTTCTTGGGGGGTGGGGGCATCCCGTGAGGCGCGATCCCCCCACCCCCCGCCCCTCCACTGAAGACTTGCGCCTGGCCGGGACCTCACACAGGCTCCTCTGTGCGCCCGCGGGCGCGGAGGAGGCGAGGGCTGCCTTTGAACTCTCAGCCTTTGTTCCCGGCGACCCAAGCCTCAGCATCCGCTCACTTCCTGCCCTGAGACCTCCGTGGCTACCTGGGCTTTCCCAGCCGGCCCCCCAGCCCCCCCAACAAAAAGCGTTTACAGTACAGGTGAGGTGAGCCAGACAGGAGCACCGCCGCCACTGGGATATCCTAACGCGTCTGCATCTTAAACCACATTGCTTTTCTGGTAGATAAAAATTAGCTTAAAAAAATCTCTCCAATCCAATTTTTTTTCTGGCTAATTTGAATAATGACTTTTAAAAAAAGATCCAAGTTATGAATATACCCTTTTTCTTTCTTTCTTTTCTTTCTTTTTTTTTTTTTAATACCGCGGGGAGGGAAACGCAGGCGAGGACCACACACGCGCAGGCGGAGGCTGAAAAGGCCGGAGGTGGGTTTTCCTGTTTCATATCAAAGAGAGCCGAGTAATGGGTTTCCTCTGTCCGACTGGGCCGGCCTTTGGCTCAATTGGAAATTCACAGGCTGCTCTCACCCCTTCTCTGCTACTGGCCGGGACCAAAAACTTCCGTAGAAAAAAAGTCGAACAAGAGCTTAATCCGGCCCCTCGAAGTCTTTCCCTCGGAGCTCCATGCGGGCGAGGGCGGGGGAAGCGAGGAAACCCTGGATCCGATCCAGCGCGCCCCTCTCCCCTGCAGGCCCCCGCCTGGGGACAGGCGTAGGTCCCGCGCCCCAGCGCGTCCCGCCCGGTGGAGACACCTACCAGCCCTTGCATCCTGCCGTCGGCGCCCATGCAGAGGTACCGGACGCTGTGTACGCCCTTGATGGCCACGGTCCGCAGAGCGACGGCCCTGATCTCCACCAAACCTGGGAGGGAGCAAGGGAAGCAAAAAGCTGCATCCAAGAGCCTTGGGGCCCACAAGACGTGGATGCGGTTGGTGCACGGGCCTGTGCCCCCTCCCCCACTCCTCCTGCTCCTCGCGCTGTCTGGGGGCCCCGGAAGGGAGTGAAACGCCGAGGTGCCAAGCCCTGGGGCTCCCGTGAGTGGGGAGCCGCGAGAGCCGAAGGAAGTAACGGAAAGAAGGGGCGCTGGGGCGGGTGGGGGGCCCCACGGACACTCACTGTGCGCGCTCTGGCCCCGCGCGCAGTCCACGGCGCCGTCAGCGCGGACGCGCAGGAAGCAGCTCGAGAGGCCGTGGGGGCCCGCGGTGTACAGGTGCCGCAGGCGGATGGGCTCGCCCCAGCCGTAGTGCACGTGCGGCCCAGCGTCGGACAAGGCTAGGGGGAGCCCGGCTGCGGCCAGCCAGAGGCCGGCCAGGATCAGGGCGCGGGCCACCACGCACCGGCTCGGCGCGCTCCGCATGGCACCTTCCTCGGGTTCGGGGCGCAGTTCGGGCGGCAGGGGTGCGGGAGGCTGGGCGGCAGCCGGGACGGGCTGCGAGGCCGTGCGTGCCGAGATACGGTGCCCGCGGCGCTCGAGCCAGCCGTGCGCTCTAGGCGCGGGGCCCTCCTGCTCCGACGGCGCGGCGGCTCGAGGCCGGCGGCCTTAAATAGTGCGTCTTACCCGGCGGGTGGGTGCCCGCGACCCGGGAGCATTTCTTATCAAGATTGCATCAGCCTTCCGCCCCCCGCACACACCCACTCACACCCCGCCTCCGGCCCCAGCCCCCTCCCCGGGCCCCGCCCGGGTGACCCCGCCCAGGCCGCCCGGATCTGGGGGAGGAGGAGGCCCCGATTCGCGGGAGGGTTCGGGGGAGCTCCTCCCCGCGGCTCGGTGGCGGGGCCGGCGGCCCGATGGCTCTTGGCTGGGCGAGTTTGATTTTATAAAGCAATAAAATAGACAACCGGAGCCCCGCCCCCAGGCCACGGCTCCCCGGGGAATGCGCTCCTCGCGGGGCGCTAGCAGGGGCGGGGGACAGGAACCCCGGGACCAGAGATTGGGGGGCACTGAGCTTTGCCTTCGTCACTCCCTGTCCGGAAAGGGCTCGCCTCGGCTTTGGGGCTCTCTCCCCTTAAAAGCCTACATCCACTGCCTTCCGCGACGGTCCCAACCCTCAGATCTCCAGACATAAAGCCGTCCATTAGAATTTCTCCCGCGGTTCGGAACCTCTGTCTCCGGGCTTTATGGTCTCGCGATCCCTGTCCCCTGCCCCGCCCCCTTTATCCCGGTAAATTGCCCCCCGACGGGGGGCCGGGCGCGATCTCCGCCCTCGGAGGAACAATGGGGGAGTCGCGCGCGGCCGAGCGCTAGATGGCGCTTCAGCCCCGGCTTCGGCCTCTGGGCTGGCTCGGGCCGCGCCCCCTCTGGGTTCGGCCTCTGCCGCGGCCCGCGGCGGTCCCCGGAGATGGAGCCTGGAAGGGCAGTCGTTGTGAAGGCGCCTTTCGGGGGCAGGGTGGGCTTACAAGCTGCAGATTAGGAAACTCTGCCCTCCCAGCTCAGGCCTGGGCGCGCGGCGCAAGGAGGCCCCTCTGTTTCTGAGGTGTCTTTTGTCATTGGCCCGGTCCTTGGGTCCCTGAGCGCTCTCCGGTGCCGGGGCGCGCTGTCTGCGGGGGACATGCGGAGCAGCATGGTCGGAGAGGTCGTATTTGGTGCGGAGGAGCAGAGGAGCAGAGATGGGCAGACACCAGGTGGGGAAATTGGGGCCACCCAGTGAAGTGGCTCCTGCAAACCAGAGGCCTTCTCTAAAATGCTCTGAAAAAGGAAACAGCATGCAGAGAACGCCTTGGGGGAAAAGAGAGGGTTCCTCCTAGGGGACTTTGGGTGGACACTAATTCTTTCTCATTGTTCCTCCAACCCCCCCAATTCCTGAGTGTGGGCCCCAGGAGGCTGGTTTTGGGGACAAGCCATACTGGCTCAGTGCAAAGATGATGGGAGGTCAAACAGTGGAGACGCCGGGAGAGAAAGCAATGCCAGGCCTAATGAATTTCAATGAGCAAAGGCCATGTTCATGCCCCAGTCAGTGACTGGCGTTAATGACGGAGCGTGCAGAAAATGTCACCAGGAAAGTCTTTACAAAAAGACATCATCTCGAAGGCTTTATAGACCAGGGACCCCCACGCTGCGCGTCTTGGTTCAGAAAGCCTTGGCTTCTGTTAAATCTAATTACTTCTCCCCTGTGGCTTTAAATCGACAGCGGCTCCTATTAAACTTAATTACCCTCCCCTGCAGCTTTCGTTTTAAAGATCCTCGATAAATGCGGAGAGCTGAGGGGGCTGGCAGAGGCTGCACTGGGGGACGAAGCCCTGAACTGGGCTAGAGGAGGAAGGGGAAGCGACAGCCTCTGGCTCCATCCCCACCCCTCTGCTGCCCCTCCTAGGGCCTTGGGGGGCGAGGGAGAGTGGCCGCTGTGATCTGGGAGCTCAGGAAGATGGTAACAACGGCACAGCTTTCAATGCCCAGGCCCTGTTTTAAGCACATTATGAGTGTTCTTGGCTTAAACCCCCACAAGAACCCCCATGGTATTTTGAACCCCCTATTGAACAGAAAGGAAACAGGCCCTCCAGAAAAGCAGCCCACAGCCCGTGAGTGGTGGGCCTGGAATTTGAACCCTAGGCTTTCGGGCTTGTAAATCAAGGCCATGCTGCACCTTGGGGAGGCCATGTGGCCTCCTAGCAGGGGCTCTGGCTCCAGGTCAGACCCTCTGCAGTACAGATCCACGCCCAGCCACTCCCCGGGCAGGCCGCACACCTGCTGGACCTGTTGCCTCCTCATGCCTTCGTTCAACCTTGTCCTGGGGTCCTATGGGAGAGTGGTCATCAAGTGCCTAGGATGTAGTTGATGAAGAAGGACAGCCCTGTGCACTGAAGGTCGGCTGGGTACCAGGCATTTCATAGTCACAGCAGTGCTCTGAGGGTTTACGTGATTAATCCGTGGTACATGGGAGGAAACGACGCTTACAGGGTTGCCCAGACAGCCAGCAAGGGTTTGCACCCAGGTGGGCTGGACACCGAGCCGCGGCGGTTTGCTGGTACCCCCGGTCTGTGTGGTTGGAGGAAGCCAGGAGGGGCAGAGGCAAGGCGGCGCTGGCCAGCAGGGGGCGCTGCGGCCTGCGGTCGGCTCTGCAGGTGAGAGCCGCGACGGCTCCTCCCGACCCCTGCAGCACCCCCGTGTGCTGGGTGGGGCTGACTTTGATTTTTGAGGCTGTCTTTCATTTAATTCAGGTGGCTGAGCCAGCTGACTCTCCGGGTGAGGTTTCACTCATTGAACCGAGCGGGCAGTGCCAGCAGGGTCCTAGTCACCCTGCTGCCCTGCTGAGCCTACACGGGGCCCCAGGGGTCTCAGGCCCAGAGGGCCAGAAGGGCTTAGCAGGCGACTGTTCTGGATTTGGTGATAGCTGGGATCTTTTTAATTGCCCTAACCTCTTTTCCTGGGGTCGCCCTCCTCCGTCCTCAGCTGGTGGGGTTTGCTCCTTCTGATGGTGGCAAATGAGATTTTCATCATTTCCAAACCCACATCCCAACAGCTAGGAAAATCTTATTCAGCTTGACTTCCGGTCTTTGCGTTATGAAAATCATCATTTTTCTTTTCACTGGATGGTTAGAAATTTATGTTATAATCTCAAATGTGCCTTTTACCTCTGTGAGCACTCCCCTGCACCCCTCCCAAGTCCCCCGCCCCCACCCCGTGGTTGAGAAGTACTCTGTAATTACAGAAGCTTCTGGGTGTCGGTAAAAATCTTCACCAGAAGACGAGAACTGCAGTTTCAAACTTGGGACAGAAAGAACTGTAAAGATTTGGATGGGGGGGCAAGCCACACAGCTGGAGGCTCAGCCCCGTATTTTTGCCCAAATCTGCTAGAACGTGCATCATTTCCCCCAAAGCGTTGTGCTTCACCAAAGCCCATTTTTTCTCCTCTTAGGATCATCGTTTTAACTCCGCCAGCTCAGAAATTGGCAGAGGCCGCATCAGAGCGGAAAAGGAAGACTTTTCTGAGCCTCAGTTTTCTTACCTGTGAAACTGCGAAAGGTACGCTTTTAACCTCCAAACGGGTTAATGTGAGAATGAGAAAAGATATCTCTATCCATCGCTCGAGAGATCAGTGTTTACATAGAGACTGCCTGGCATAAGTAGGTGTGTCATAGATGGGGTAGCTATCGTTATTTGTTTAAGGGCTACTTTCTGGCTATCTTTGCCACATTGATTATTTGTTTAAAAATATAATGGCAACTCCAGAAAAAGGCAAATCTAATCTATGGCGACAAAAAGCTGATCGGTGGTGGCCTGAGTCGGGGGTTGGGGGTGGGGGCCGACTGGAAGGGGCCAAGAGGAAGCTTTCTGGGGTGATGGGGAAGTTCTTTTTCTTGTTTGTGGTGGTGAATAGTAGGCAGTGACATTTGTCAAAACTCATTGAATGGTGCCCTTAAAATTAGGGTGCATTTTATTTTAAATTATGCCTCAATAAAGTTGATTTGGAACATTTTCATTGCAAAAGTAGTACTTTTCTTGGTTGAAAATTTGAAAAATACAGAAAAGCACATGAAGACAGTTTTAAAACCTGGAATATTATGACTGCATTATGAGCCACTGTTGCTATTTGGGTGAATTTCTTCCTCAGACTTTTAAAAAGCATGTACATATTTTAAAACAAAAAATGAAAAAACTCAGTATTTGAATTGTATCCTCCTTTCCCCCACTTGGCTGTAAACATTTCCCACGGCATTAAATATCTTTCTGCAGCATCCTTCAATCCGGCAGATCTGAGTGGGGTACCACGGGATCTGCAGTCTGTCTCCGATTGGTGGACATTTAGATTGTTTCCAGTCTCCCCTCCTACGTCACACAGGGGAGGACATCCATGAAGACACATCTCACACCTGTCCGCTCGGACGGGGAATTACTGGGCCCCACGGTTTCTCTTCCCAGGTAGGTCCCGTCCACGTGTGAACACCGGATCAGGGTGGGATGTGGCGGCTTTCTCCTGGAATTAAGGAAACTACCCCACTCTGTCCACACTGAGGGCTGCACAGCTTCCTCTAGACTTCTTTGGGTGAGTCTGAGACTGTGTTTAAGTCACAGCCACCAGCAGTCGCCCATGTGGCACAGGAGCTGCGACCAGAAGTCTCTTTTGCTGCTGATTCAGACCCCCAGCCCCAGGGCCTGAGACCCAGGGCTGAGCTCCCCTGTCAGGTGAAGCCTGGGTGTGGTTGTGCCCTTTGTCACATGTGGTGACAGGAGCTGGCAGTTTTTCCAGGGATGCATGAATCCCTGCCAACATGGCTATCAAACCGATTTCTGTACGTGAATTCTATTTCCCACTGATCTCCATCATCAAAACACGAACGTGTCCAATGGAAAATATTTTGACCTGTCGGTGTAGCAACATCATGTAAGAAAGCAGCAATGCTGTCAATGTCACCAGGTTAAAGAAAAAAAAAAGTAGCTTCATGAGAAAACATTCACAGTGCTAATAGTGATGTCACTAAAAGTCGTAAAATCAAAATATTGAAATTGGAAAGCACTGAAACCTCTGGCCTGCGATTGCCAACCTCGTCCTGTCACCCTGACGCATATGACGCCCTCAGGATGTGCTAGGAATTGTGCTAGGCACTTTGTTATCACATGTAATTTTCACAGCACCCATTT